TATCACCCAATGTGGAAGAAATGTCAAAGCTCATAGAACTCATACACTTTATAGACCACGATAAAGACAATTTGCCCCATGAAGGCTAGAATGTGTTTGTGACTTTAACTAAGTATCACTATCCCACAATACTGTGAAATTTATGTAATCACTTAATCACAATAAAAAAATTGCAAAAGAAAAGTATGCTCTTACAATGACTGTTATTCAAAGTGAAAATGTTCAGGACTTCTAAGACAAAAGACCTGCTTTTAAAAGTTATAATTCAATGGAATTTTCCATGGCATGGCTATTATTGGGCTATCTTTTTTCTTTCTCACAGTTCAGTGAGGAGAATAATTATGATGTAGCTCACAACAGTGTAATTCATCTTATAATTACAGTAGATGCTCGTTGTCTCTAGAAATACTGAAATAATGAAGAGGAGAATAACTGACGACTGCCAAGCAAGCTAAGCGCCTGATCCTGTCTAACTTGAGATGATCTAGTCATCTTTTCAGCCTTCCTTTCCACTGCCTTAATTGCCTGGCAGTTGATGTACATAAGAATTATGAAACAAAGGGATGGAACTGTCTGACTTATTTAAAAACACAATGACAGTTTTGAAATGGAGACAGATTGAAATGGTGTGTGAAGGGGAATTTTGAACATCTAGGCACTTCTATTTTTGGTACTTTCAATAAGCTGTTGGTAAAGCAATGATGTTTTTCAAGAGTTAGCAAATGATTTTGCAGTTATTTATTACAATAAAATACTACTTTAGGATGTGAAATTAACCACACAGGATTCCGTTGTACAAGGTCACTCAAGATGACACAGCTGGGTCAGGAGCTAGATTATGCCCTCCGTCCCCACTCGTCCCCCTGCTCTGGTCCCTGGAGGCTTCTGTGTGGCCCTGTCTACTCTTGGTTTGGTTCAGGCAGTGGGATTTCAGGGCTGGGGGCCAAGAAGTAGAAAGGAGGGGAGCTCAGGGTTGGGGGCTGGGAAGGGAGGGGGGCCTGATCAGGGCTGGAGAGCCTGGAGGGGGAAAGAGAGGGGGTCAGGACTTGGGGAGGGGAGAGGTGACTGAGGGCTGGGGGCCACAAATCCTCTTGATTTGTACAGATGTCCTCAGCTCCTGGGCAAGGTTTCTCCTGTCTTTTCTATTACTACCAGTCCAGTGACTCAGGATGGCACAGATGCTCATGCATTTCTTACATTCTGTGGCCATACCTTTTAAATCCTCCCTTTATTAAACCCTTTGAAATCATTCTAATCTCTTTTCTAGCACAGAAAATTCTTATTTATTCCTTCAGGAAAATTTGGCTGACCATTCAGGTGTACGTATTTAAAGCTTAGACCCAATGGAGTTGTGGCATCATAATGAAATCTTGTTTAATAAAGTCTATACCTTTTATATGGCAAAAGAATGCATGCAACCAGAAGTGTCTACCATTTAAGTAAAGGTAGGATTCCTGGCAATCACCAATATATTCTCTGTGATTAAAGCAAATCTTTTTACTTTTTTTTTTTTTGTCAGTCATGGGGCTTGAACTCTGGGCTTGGGCACTGTCCCTGCACTCTTCAGCTCAAGGTGAGCACTCTACCACTTGAGCCACAGTGCCACTTCTGGTTTTCTAGTGGTTTATTGGAGGTAAGAGTCTCATGGACTTTCCTGCCCAGGCTGGCTTTGAACCATGATCCTCAGATTTCAGCCTCCTGAGTAGCTAGGATTACAGGTGTGAGCCACTGGGCACCCGGCTTCTTTTTACTTTTTTAATGAAGTTGCTGACCTCTTGAATAGGACAGGGAAAACAAGGTAGATACTAACTTTGAAAATATTTCCAAGAACATGATCTACCTTCACCAATGCACATGGAGGGAGACTGACCTTTTCTCTGGTTTCTCCCGGGGTCACATGATCCCTAGTTATCCCTGCAGAGGAAGGGGCAGCAAGAAGAGCAAGGCCTCAGCACCATGGGACTTTTTAAACATTGCCACGAATACTAAACTCGCATTGGGCATTCCTGCTCTGTGAGGTCTGAGTCAGTGTGAACAAGCCCCACCTCCATACCCTAGGCACTAGCAAGGAACCGACTCTGGGTGTTCCTACCTCCTGGCAGGTCAACACTCAGAGCCTGCACCCTAGGTGCAAGGGCAGTGAGGATGCTGGCCTCGCTGGTCTAAGGAAGGTACTGGCCTGCTCCCCAGCCTGCACTTCCACCATTTCTTTTTCTTTAGTTGGTTGTGGGGCTTGAACTCTGTGCCTGGGTGCTGTCCCTGAGTGCTTCAGCTCAAGGCTAGTGCTCTACTACTTGATCCACAGTGCCACTTCCGGTTTTCTGGTGGTCACTGGGGATAAAAGTCTCAGCCTTTCCTGCCCTGGCTGGCTTTGAACCATGATCCTCAAATCGCAGCTTCCTGAGTAGCTGGGATTACAGGTGTGAGCTACCCGCACCCAGTCCACCATTTCCTTTTTATTGTATTCCCCAGACCCAGAGGTGGCTGGCTGCTTGCAGTGCTGACTTCAGTTTGGCCCTGCTCTGATGCTGTTCTGGTACTGACTGAGTATCAGGATGGCTTGGCTCAGGTTCAAACCTGAGACCTGGGAGTTTGGGCTCTACCTGGGAGGCCAGCACCAGAGAAGGAGTGGTGAGGGCAGAAAGCAAGTGAGAGCCAGTCAGCACCCGAGGAGGGCCTTGACATAGAAGCCTTCAGCAAGCATTTCCTGAGTTCAAAGGGATGAGACTTTTGAGCCTGCCTGCCTGCCTGCCTTCCTTCCTTCCTTCCTTCCTTCCTTCCTTCCTTCCTTCCTTCCTTCTCTTTCTCCCTTCTCCCTTCCCGGGCCTTTTTCTCCTTTTATTCTTTTTTTGCACTGGTCCTGGAGCTTGAACTCAGGGCCTAAGTACTATTCTGTTGCTTTTCCATACTCTACCAGTGGAGCCACAGCTCCTCTTCTGACTTTTTGCTGGTTAACTGGAGATAAGAGTCTCGTGGATTTTCCTGTCAAGGCTGGCTTTGGACCTCAATTCTCAGATCTCAGCCTCCTGAGTAGCTGGGATTACTGGCCTGAGCACCAGTGCCCAGATGAAAGACAATCTTTAGTCCTCAGATTTGCCTGAAGTGCCTCATCAAAGTGACACCTGGTATAATTAAAATTCAAATTAATGAAAAACAGTCAGCTTTTAATGCATAGTCTCCGTAAACAGTTTTATATATACACAGAATAAAATACATGTGTACAGTACATATATGCATACATATGATTAAATCATGTTTTTTGTTTATCATCAAAAAATTACCAACAAAAAGAAAGAAGAAGCCAGGCACCATGGCTCATGCCTGTAATCCTAGCTACTCAGGAGGCTGAGATCTGAGGATTGCAGTTCAAAGCCAGCCCAGGCAGGAATGTCCATGAGACTCTTATCTCCAATTAACCACCAGAAAACTGGAAGTGGCACTGTGGTTCAAGTTATAGAGTGCTAGCCTTGAGCTGAAGAGCACAGGGACAGTGCCCAAGCCCAGAGTTCAAGCCCCACAACCAAGAACAGAGAGAGAGAGAGAGAGAGATGGGGGAGGGGAAGGAGGGAGGGAGGGAGGAAAGGAAGGAAGGAGAAAGAAAGAAAAAGAAAGAAAGAAAGAAAGATTGTTGCCACTGAATGCATGCGACCATGCATCTACCATTTTTTTTTCTAAAAATAGAAACCTTAATTCCATCTGTTAATTCAAACTGACACTGAAGCTGCTCAACACCCCTAGCACGTCAGCCCCAGTGCCAGCCTGATCCAGCCATCACCAACAGCTGCTAGAAAGCCCAAAGCAATTTCCCAGCAGATAAATCTGCTCATCCCTGGCTGGCAACTCCTCTCACAGAAAGAGCGTGCCAGCTCTGCAGGTTTTGTCTAGAACCTGGTAGAGGAATTCAGAAGCTGCCAGCGTAGTCTCATTACCTTCACTGGGCCAAGCCCAGGAAACTGCGACTAGAAACAAGGGCCTGTCCTTTTTTTTTTTTTTGTTGGTCGTGGGGCTTGAACTCTGGGCCTGGGCGCTGTCCTTCAGCTCTTCAGCTCAAGGCGAGCACTCTACCACTTGAGCTACAGTGCCACTTCCGGTTTTCTGGTGGTTTATTGGAGATAGGAGTCTCACAGTCTTTCCTGCCCGGGCTGGCTTTGAACCGTGATCCTCAGATCTCAGCCTCCTCAGTAGCTAGGATTACAGGCGTGAGCCACCAGCGCCTGGCTTGTCCTTTTTTATATAGTAGTCTTAGCTACAGAGAATCAGAAGCACAGTAACTACTGACATCTTGTGAAGACCAGTAGATCTCCTCCAGAACACAGAAATGGCAAGCCTGGCTTTAATGGCATCTAAGCTTGTGTTGCTAATGCTCCCTCTGGGGTGGGGCTCTGTGGGGTCTATGAGGACAGTGGAAGCTGGCTTAGCCTGAAGGGAGTCCTCACTCACCCTCTGGGAAGCTAGGATCTACCATCTGTGTCACTTACAGTGGTGTTCTTCCCAGAGAGGGCACAAACACGGTTCACGTTGGTGAAGGGAGAGCTGCCAGGCACAGACGGAAGCACCCTGGCCAGTGAAAAACTTCCCATTTATCATCACTTTGCCACTCTGGGAGGCTTCCTTCATAGAGATTAGCTGTCTATAACCTCTTTATAATATTACATTTTTTATGCCACTGTAACCAGTCTGCTCAGCTCAATCTGAATACATCAAAAGAAGGATACATAATACATAAGCAGTTTTATTATTCAAACGCAATTAAAGACAGCTCACTGTGTGTTTTCTATTTTTAGGGCAACACATCACTGAAGCCCATGACAAAGCTTTCTTAGAGTGCACTTCAGAGGAGGAAAAACAAAACATAACAAAACTGGACATTAGCTTTCTCAGAGTCTTAAGTGGAATTCAGTTTTACCAAAAACATTTTCTGAATCTCTGTTATGTGTGCAAATGATATTGTCAAGATGTTAACATCCTTGGCTCATGCCAAGTATTTAAAAGCTCTTTACCTTTTGTCCAGGTAAGCCGGGAACACCACGTAAACCATTTTCACCCTAAAAATAAATACATGACATTCATTTTATTTATTTATTTATATTTATTTGTCAGTCATGGGGCTTGAACACTGTCCCTCAGCTCTTCAGCTCAAGGCAAATGCTCTACCACCTGAGCCACAGTGCCACTTCTGACATTCATTTTATTCGCTATAAAATAAAATAAACACATTATCTGTGTGATATTCAACAACTTGTTCTAGTATCATAGGAAAAGGGAATAAATACGTATGTGTAGGGGCTCACTTCTCCAAAAAGAATTATTATCCTTAAATAGCTGTATAAAGGGGTTTGAATTCCACATGTGAGTTTGTGAGCACAATGCATCGAGTGTCACCCCTTCGGTGTTCTCCCCACCTCTCCCAGCCCCACCCCTGCCCTCCCTACCCCTCCCATTCCTGCCCCTCCCCTCCCACCTCTCCCAGTCCCAGTCTTCCCCACAGCTATCTGATTCCCATTTCACAGGTGTGCATTGAGTGTTCTGACTGCGTTCTCCCCCTTCCTTGCTCCATCACCTTAACTTTAAAAATAAGAAAACAGAGCACATACATGCATGTATGTCTTCATGTTTGTGAGCATGTCTCCCTGTCATCTAATCTGATGCCTTTGGATGGGTTTTTGAAGTCACCAGATCAAGGCCATTTTTATGTGAAATGATGACTTGGAAGTCATTTCAGTTCCTTCCGTCACCTGTTCCTGTCTTGGTATGAAGGTTGGCAGCAATCACCTATCAGTTTCCCTTCTGGAATTCACAGGTCAGTGCTGCCCAGTCTGCTTCAGGAACAGCAAACAGAGAGAAAGGGCAGCCTGGATGGGGGGGGGGGGGGGGTCTGGGGAGGGGGGCATGGTCCTGGGGAGCCTTAGGAATTCAACTGTCAACTGAGCTATTTCCTTCAAATATTTGTTTGGAAAGTAACAGTTTTCAGTATGGCCTAAGACTTAGCTACATATCACTTGTAAGACTTATTTGAATAAAATTCAAACCTATGACAAACAAAATGTCGTATTTCAAACAAAATGACAATGTTACATTCTGCCTAAATCTAAAGAACTCTTTGTTATTATTAATACATATTTTGGAAGGGTATATAGTTATGTTATTTTAAAGATGAATATTTTTTCTTAGCTTACATTAAAATATCACAGTATCTTGTAGTAAAACTGCTATCATGACTTAAATAACGAGTGTAAGTGTTGAAGCACTAATAAAGTATAATTATCTATATAATAAGCCTTTCCATCATTTAAAAAGCTATTACAGTTGCAGCCCTCAGGCATCAAGTGACTTAGAGGGTCTTCCTGAAGCAAAGCGGCTCCTGCTCTCCTCTTGGAAGCTCTAGACTTGTCCACAGGGAGATTACTGTCATCTGCCTATCTGACAGAATGTTTTCCATCATATTTCAAGTGATGTAAGACAACAAGACACAGAATCTAAGCCAATAAAGTCTAATGACACAGGTTGTACACTGCCTAAGGGAAAACACAGCTTGTTCCCACATTTTCATACTATGCCTGGTACCCAAGGGCCCCTGCCACATGTCAGGTGGAGGATCACACCCATGAACCATTAACTATGTCTCTAGAGCTGTGATATGGAGAAATGCCCTTAGCACAAGTTAATTTTAAGATTGTCATCATTGTGATACTGTGTTTTCTCTTCTCTTTCCTGATTACTAATGAGCTTGTAGACATATTTCCTGACTCTGAGATGACCAGAGCAGGACACGAGCCAGCCTTATATGATGATACATCAACGTATTCACAGTTCCCAAATGTTGTTGGTGCTCTTGAAGCTCAAGTTTGAGATTCAGGTATTCAGACCAACCAGCCTTCCTTCCTTCCTTTTCTTTCCTTCTTTCCCTCCCTCTCTTCCTCTCTCTCTCATGCCAGCACTGGGGCTTGAACTCACACTCAGGGTTCACACACTCTACCACTTCTGGCTTTTTGTGGTTAATTGAAGATAAGAGTCTCATGGACTTTCATGCTGGGCTGTCTTCAAACTGGGATCCTCAGATCTCAGGCTTTTAAGTAGTAAGGATTACAGATGTGAGCCACCAGCGCCCAGCTAAAAATTTCTTTGTACTGCTTTTGTCAAAGTTACCATACATGACTTATTCAGAGAGTAGTTTGTCATTATTCTAGTGTTCTAGTCTCTGAGGGTTAAATGTGCATATTTGTTTTTATCTCTATATCAAAAAGGAAAGACATTAACAAAAAACTAAATAAGAAAATGGCCCTGGAGGGAAAAGTTTTCTTCAGGTTAATAGATGGTGATATTTCTGCCAGAACTTTATTTAGAACCTAATTTATGTTAGCAAAGTGAAGCAGAGACTGAAAGCCTAGGGTGCTGGAAGCAGTTTTAATTGTACCTATAAACTAAACACCTGACGAATGCCCGAGGCTGTGGGCAGTGCATGCATTAGAGGTTTCTCTGTGCCCTAGCTGCAGCCATGTCTTCCTGGCCTGGGCTCCAGGAATACAACGACACTTCAGTGGATACTTCAGTCCATCCATTGTTGAAAGACAACAACCCTGATGGTTTCAAAGCAGCCATAGACTGTCTGTGAGGCATCACTGTTACTGCTGGTCTTTCTACCCCCAAACCTTGTCTGCTCCTAGCCACAGCTTCAGCATGGGGTGGAACTCCCTGCAGGCGCCTGTGGTGCTGGTTCCCTCAGTGCTGGCACTGGGCTCTCACGTGGTCCACAGCTCTCACAGTGAGGTATGCCCTTCCCAGAAGCCCAGCAGCCCATTGAGGGATTTTTGGAAAAAATCTTAGGTGATGTTTAGAGATAGCTGTGGCTACTTTTTAATCACTCTGTATTTCCAGCAGTCAACATAGCAAGGCATAAAACACAAATATTAGTTTTCCTGATTCCTTTGACATTGCAATCAATGGATTTCTTATTATGGAAGATATTTATGTTGTCTGAAAAACAGCTCATGAAGCTGTGTTCCCTTATTGTGTCTGTAAGACTGCATTTCAAGAAATAAATTATCAAGTTAAATTATATATTACATAATATATGTCATTATCTTATATGTACTTATACAAAAGTAATTATGGTAATTATATAACTATATTTTGATACATTACATATTTGTATATTTAAGAGTTTAAAACTTCAAACTTCTTGAATTCTTTGAATCTATCTGTTGGTTCTTAATGCAGCGAACAATACATGGAGTATATTACCACATTAATGCTCAGGATAAGAACGATTTAAAACATGCTTGATAATAAGACAATTGAGAGCCTAATACTATTTATTCCTGCATCATTTCTAGATAGGGCAGCCAGGCACAGAAGGTGATGGCTAATGCCCGATGTTATAACTGTGGCGTGACGGGGCTGATACGAAGCCGCTGAACCTGGTGTCACTCTGTTGACATCTGCTGACCCCAACTCTGTATGTGTGAACACCCACAAAAGAAGCAAGATGGATATTCTTCAATATAAAGACAAGTGTAATCATGCCTTCAGACCCCATAGCCTCCAGAGAATGTAAGGAAGTTCTGTTTGTTGCTCTTTTGTTGTGTTTTCCAGATAAGGTCTTGTGCTAACTTTGCTTGGGCTGGCCTCTAATCTTCATCCTCCTACCTCTACTTGCCAAGTACCTGGAATTAAGAGGTGTGAGACACCATGTGATGAGTTCAACTCAGGTACTTTTTTTGTTTAATTTGCATTGAAAGACCAAAATGAAAAAATTCCTGATATAGTTATTGACTAAATGCTTCCTAATTTAACCTCCCCCAAATTTCTGCCCATTTGTCTTATTTCTGCTTCCTGGAATCTCGCGGTGTGAGACATGCTTTCCCTTGGCTCATCTAGGACACTGCTGAGGACCATACACACCCAGGCCTCGCTACCTTGATAGCCCCTGTACCCTGGACACATGCTGCCAGTCAGTGTGTCCTTCAAATGTGACACTGGAAACTCAGCAACCACTTCACAGACAGATGGCCAGATGGCCCCCTGCTCTCATTCTAACCAATTCAACAAACTCGTAGCCCAAATAATCTGCTGTCCTCTTTGGGCCCAGGGTTGGATAGCAGAGCTGTGCCAGGCACCAAATCCTTTTCTTCCACTGTTCACATTCACACATTGACCAAAGGCATGCGCACATGTACACACACATACACAAAACACACACACACACACACACACACAGAGCACTGGGGCCATGAGCTGACAATTCTGCCTGGTAGAGAAAATGTCTGAAGATGATTTACAAACTTTTGAGTTTAATGATTCATAAAAATGCAGGGGTGGGCAGAAGGAAGAAAACTATACTATCTGTGTCTGCGCCTTCTATGTGTACCTGGCACATGCATACAATCCTTTACGCCTGGCATGGCTATGCCTGGCCTAGCTGGATATTTCCACTTAAAGAAAACTAGCTGGGCACCAGAGGCTTGTTCTGAGATAATCCTAGCTACTCAGGAGGATGACATTTGAGTGATGATTCAGGTTCAAAGCCAGGCAGTGAAGACAAATCCAAGCAAAAAGCCAGAAGTGGAGCTCTCACTCAAGTTGGTAGAGAACCAGCCTTAAGCGAAAAAGCCATATGAAAGTGTACAACCTTGAGTTTCAAGTCCCTGTACAAGCATACATACTGGGCCTTGAAAAAGTGAAAAGAAAATTTAAAAAGGAAAAAAAAACCCTCTTAATATCTAAAATGGGAAATGTCTTTATGAAATAAGAGTTATATCTTTAAGACCACTATTCAGTATTTCAGTAACCAACAGCAAGATTACAATAACCAGCCACTAAGCTATGTAAAGAAACAAACGAGGAGTTCATCATTATGGCAATGTTGTAATATTTGTGTGGCTGCTAGAAAGATGGTACAGTATAACAAATCAGAACACCAGCAGGCTCTTGAAATCTGGCTAACTGTTCAGTGAATAAAAGCCTGGATGCCAGCTCTGGAGGCTGTGTGGCACCAGTCCATTGCCAGCTGAGATGGCAGCCAGCTGCTCCACTTGGGGTCTGAGTG